CCAGGAGCACCCAGTAGCTTCTTGTTCCTAGTAGTACGGCCAGGAGCCCCTAGGAGCTTCTTGTTCCTAGTAGTACAGCCAGGAGCTACTTTTTGCGTCTTTGCTCCTAGTAGCGATGCCCTTTGCTCCTAGTAGCGTCCTTAGTCGTCACCAAATCGGAATCCCCGTTCGTAGCGTCCAGTTGTTACTCGTCGCGATGCCCTTTGCTCCGTTCGTAGCGATGCCGTCGTCACCAGTGGTCGGACTCACGGCCGCCAACCGAACCAACATCGGCCTCCATGTCTTCCGTCTCGGCCTCGAAAAGCTTCCCCGTGGAGTGCTGCCCTAAGCTGTGCATTGTGGAAAAAAACTGGCAGAAAGTTGGCAGAAAGATGCAGAGAGTTCTCCGAATGATGGTTATTTTTGAATAATTCTGAATAATTGATTCTTTGTTTTAATTAGCATTGCCCTTAAAGACATGGTCCTGTTCGGAAAAATGAATGACCATGGAAGATAAGAACCCTCTGCATTTGTGGATTGATAGCCCGAAAACTCTCAGTTCGGTAAGGTTTGCTCTCCACGCCGAATCTGAGAAATAGCTCTGCACCTAGAGACCACATCCACTAAAGTTGGACAGATTGATATCCCTTGACAAGAAAAGAAACCTTGACAAGCACTAGCGGATGTGAACTCTTTCTTTCTCCAGGTTGTGGTCCTGGATGTCCATCGCCCAAGCAGTCGACTACAAGACTGCCCTCTCTCCCGTGGGAAGATAACTCAGACCCGGAAGCAAATCCAGCTGCAACGCCGAATGACACTAGCAAAGGGCATCGCTACAAACGGAGCAAGGAAGCTACTGGGAGCAAAGGGCATCACTTCTCAAACTCCTCACTTCCGAAAACCACCAACCTCCACTTCTCCACGATCCTGGAATGCTTCTTTCAACCACAACTTCGAGAAATTGAAGCCAAACCCATAAACCAATGAAACGCTGAAGTCATCCGAGATGCTATCCACATAGCTCCAGACTAGGTCTGTGAACTGCAATGGGATTCGCCTTGACCTCAGGAGGGTCCATTGCTATTGGGTTGGAGGCCATTGCTATTCACTTCACTTGGTCTCACTTCGTCTCACTTGAGGTGGAACGATTTCGTCTGGTCACGGTGACTACTCACTCTCTCACCATGTATTTGGAAAACATCATGTATTTGGAACCAAGATCGGCGATACATGGATATGGAAGCAATACATAATCCGCCGGCCCTGGGGCACGGCGTGTTTTGGGTAGTTGGTTTTTTGTTAGTTCTTTGTTAAGTAATGTCTTGTCTGTTGTAGTGCTCCCCGGGCGGATTTTTGAACATATCATAGCTAAAGTGAAAGGTTGTGTGCGCTTCCTTCTTATCGTCGTTCTTCTCTTGCCGTTGTCCATGCATTGCGCTTCTGCTTTGCATGCGTTTTTCTCAGGCTTTGCACCTGCACTCACGTATCTATCGTTTTTTGCAGACTCAGACTGCTTGGAAATCCCCATGCCACACATGTCCTCATTACTCTCTTGTATCATGTCTGACGGAATGCTATGTACGTTTGCTGCTTCACGGTCTACTTCGCTCATTGTGTCACATGTCATATAATTTGTCTTCTTGCTTGGCAGGCTATACGTTGCATCCCCCAATTTCATCTCCCTGTCCTCTTATTGTATCATAATGCACGTCATTTCATGTAGAGGAGCCTAACTTTTTCTGCTCTGTTGCAGTCTATCCTCTTGACGCAAAAGGTACTCCGCATCTTGGGACCATTGGCTGAAAAGGCCGGCGGAACAACCCGCAGGGTGTAAATATATAGATGTTTGACTTTGGGGAGATATGTTTTTTGCTCCGGGAACAGGGACAAACAAGGAAATGGCAGGAAGAGGGACGGGACAAGTCAAAAAGAAGCAATACAGGCAGAAAGGACCGGGACGAAAGAGACAAGACATGGCAAAGGAGCAGGAAAAGGAGGAGCAAAACATGAGCAATAGAAAGAGCAGAAAGAGTAGAACGGAACAAAAGTTGAGAGAATATAAACGTTGCTTCCACAAACAGTTGCAGAGATAAGAAAACGAGAAACGATGGAAAACATGTATTTCCAAATGCCTGAAAAAAGTCACTTTAAACCACTGCCCTGGAAAAAACACAAAGAAAAACACACAACACAAGAACCGGCCCCAGACAACACCGCCAAACTTACCCTAAGTGACTGCCGCGTCACCTAAAACACATCAATCAAAACATATCAAAACATCTTCATTCCGGTTGAATGTCCAAACTGGTTGGTCGTTCTTCCAGCGTTGCATAGGTGTTGTTCATGCATCTCACCACGTGACCACCTGCAAAGCATCGACCTAAATCCAACAGATTCCTGGAGAGCAAGAAAAAACCAGAATTGTGAAACCCCTATTAGGTTGGAGGCCATCGCTATTAGGTTGGAGGCCATGGCTATTAGCTTGGAGGCCATCGCTATTAGGTTGGAGGCCATCGCTGTTAGGTTGGAGGACATCGCTATTAGGTTGGAGGCCATCCCTG